TTGACTTACAACCATTTGCTTAATAACCACGGCACTCAAAAAAGAGGCTTATAACCCGTCCAGAACTTATGACCATTGCAGTCACATGATCAAAATTCAGGCGCTTGACAACAGGCATGTATTTACGACAGGTGCAGCGTGTCGGGGTCATGTGATTGCTATTTGTGACCTTCCCAGACAACCTCTAACTAGCAAAGTCAATGGGGGAAGCTGGATACTCTTAATGCAAGATTCGCTTAGGAAGTGCAGTGATTTGCTTATCAGTTGAAGCCCCCAAAAATGTCATTAACAGAACTACTTGTAGCTGTTTACTCAAGTGGAATAAGAGCTACTGGAAGGAAACTGCACTGTGGTACCAATGAGTTCACTGCCCCCCCCCCCTCAGTCTCCAGAAATGAGCACTGCTGCTGGCTCCAGTCTTAAGAAGAACTGAAACAATATTGGCCACTAAATGTGGATCCTCATGGATGGAGGAATTCCAGGTGCTGCGTGTCCATTGAACGATAAGGTTGGACCACAGTTATATTCTGTGGTCCAGCCACATTGTTATAGAGCAGAGGTCCCCAACCTTTTGGGCACCAGTGACCGGTTCCATGGAGAGGGAGGGCGCGTGGTTTTGTGTGCTGCCTGCATCCCACGGATGGGGCTTTGCTTGTTTGTGCGGACCGGTTGCTGGCATGACGCGGCCTGGTACCAGTCCACGGACCGGGGGTTGGGGACCCCTGTTATAGAGTTTCCTCCAGTCCAGATTAGAACCTGTTTTCTCTTAAGCCATCATCATTTCTTTCTGCATGGCCAGATTTTATTTTCCTGCTATTTTGTGATGGAAACCTGTACATCTGAAAGATTATTCTTCCACGCAGTGAGGACCCACTAAATCCAGAAAAAAGTGTCTGTCCAATCAAATTTGTAGCAGTGATCCTCTCTCCCCATATCCCCCCAAACCACCAAGCATGGGGTTTATTTGTTCAAGAGCTTCCCAACTATGCCCAATCGATTAACCCCATCCCCCCCACCCCCGCCAAGGCTTCCAAGGTTTTTCAGGGTGCAGCTGGAGTTTGCAACCCCTCCCATGTGTAGAGTGAATGTGTGCAACACTCTTCAATTAGCAAGTGGATTGATCAGTTTTCTGCATTCAAACAATACCCAGAATATTAAAGAAATGCAACGTGCTGGTTTGCACCACATCCTAACACACAGACAGACGGAAGGACTGCTGCCCAAAGTCAAACTTAATCATGCCTGGCCTAATGTGGGGCTAGCATAACGTTGTGACAAGGGGCTTTTTGCCTCCAAATCCTAAATCCAGAGGATTGTGATGTATTTCTTAGGAACAATCATGACATCAAAACAAAGAGAAGTTATGAGTTTTTGAGCCCTTTGGCCTTATCCTGTTATCCTAGTCCTTCCTCCTTTCCTTTCCTTTCCTTTCCTTTCCTCCTTCCTTCCATCTATCTATCTATCTATCTATCTATCTATCTATCTATCTATCTATCTATCTATCTATCTATCTATCTATCATCTATCCCTTCCTTCCTTCCTTCTTTTCTTTCTTTCTTTCTTTTTTTTCTTTCTTTCTTTCTCTCTGTCTCTCTCTCTCTATTTCTCTCTCTCTCCCTCTCTCTCCCTCTTTTTCTCTCTCTCTCTCTCTCTCTCTCTCCCTCTCTCCCTCTCTTTCTCTCTCTCTCTCTCTCTCTTTCTCTCCCTCTCTCTCTCTCCCTCTCTTTCTCTCTCTCTCTCTCTCTCTCTCTCTCTCTTTCTTTCTTTCTCCACCTTCTCCTTGAAGCATCCACTGGGACTGAGCAACAACGGGAGGGGGAGATGAGACCGCTTAGTTCTCTTGAGAAAGAAGGAAAAAGAGATTCCAAACGCCCCCTGCCCACATTCCGCAGCTCAAGAGGAGGCCACCGGGTGAGTATCCCGTCCCCCGCCCCCGCCCCCCGCGCCCTCTCCAAATTCCCTTTATGGGGGATGGAGAAACGGAGAGGCAAGCATCCCCCTTCGCTCCCCAGGCCCAGCAGCAGCAGCAGCCCTTCACCCAAAGCCGGAAATCGATCTTGAACTGAATCAACTAGTCTTTCTCCCGTTCGCTCCCCGCTCCGCCATCCCCCCCCCCCCCCGCATCACTCACTCACTCACCCACCACCGCCTCTTGTCTTCTCGGCCTCAGTCCCAGCTCCGGCACCCCTTCTCCGGCCTTTCCAATGCAGACTTGCAGCTCTGTGTGTGTGTGTGTGTGTGTGTGTGTGTGTGTGTGACTGACTGGGAGGGGGTGTCTCCCCCTCCCTTTCTTGCTTCCTCAGCTGCTCTAGACTACTAGAGGACCCCGCTTCCTGCCTTTGAACCACAGAGGCAATATTTTGGTTTGGGGGGGAGGGCGGGGCGGCATCTGATTGACCGCCTGACCACCTAAATCTCCTTCCTTCCTTCTTCCCCTCCCTGTTTCCCCCCCCCCACACACACACACACCGGTTCATTTTCCTTTCCTTTATAAAATCCCTTTCCCCCCCCTCTTTATTTTTTCCCCCCGGGGTCTCTCCGGGTCATGAATGGCTTTAAAAAAAAAAAAAGCAGGCAGGAGAAAGGGAAAGTGACGGCCACTATTGCTGGGGGGCGGAGAGGGAGGGTGGATGGGTTGTGGGGGGGGGTCCCATCCCGCCCCCATCCCGCCCTGCAGCCGGGATGCCAGTGCGTTTGCAAGAAGTGGGGGTGGGGGGAGGTCCACGCGTCGGAGGCTCCCTGGCATGTAAAAAAAAAAAGGGGGCGGGATTTGAGAGAAGGGTCTCGGCTTGAGAATAACAAACACACACACACACAGAGAGACACACACACACCGTTTATTTCTTGTTTTGCACAAACTTGAAGCCCAGTTGCGCTTTGCGGGGGGGGGGAAAGCAGGGGGATCCACCCAAAGACCCACCGCCGCCCCCCCCAGTAGGATGTTAGCCCGGATCGTCGGGAAAGGCTTTGCAAAAAAGGAAGGGGGGGGTCCGTTGCACAGACGACGCCTCCCCCCTCCCCAGCCCCTTGCTCCCCAGTTGGGACAAGGCTGGCGCGAGACGAACGTGGGGAAGCGCACTTGGGGGACGCCGGTGTCTCGCGGGAGGCGCTTCCCCACCGGCTACTCTCCCCCCCCCTTCACACACACACACACACACACACACACACACACACACAGAGGTTCCCCCTTCCTCCGACCCCCCACCCCACCCCCAGCCTCTTCCCTCCAGCTTTCTCTAAGCCTTTTCGACC